AATAATATATGTATTTTATATATATATTTCTCTAGAGAACCATGACTAATACAGTGGGATAACTAAAACCCAGTGAAATTACATGATTTTCTTAATGTCATTTAGTAAGTGGTGGCAGAGCTGGTAAAAGAAAGATGGGGAAACTGGGTCATAAAATTGCCTAAAATATTGATTATAAGGCTAGGAAAGAAATTCAGAACTATCAACTTCCAGCCCTGTCTTTTCTGGTGGATTGCATGCTTAGAAATGTGAAATTTTATGCAAAACCAATATATGAAAAATTCTGAAATTTAAAGCAGATAAAACAGGAGAGGGATTGTTTGCTTCACCAAAAGATACAGTGTACAATTCTTTTTTTATTATTTAAATTCAATTAGCCAACATATAGTACATGATCAGTCCAGATGTAGTGTTCAATGATTCATCAGTTGTGTATAACAAACACCCAGTGCTCATCACATCATGTGCCCTCCTTAATGCCCATCATCCAATTATCCCATTCCCCCAACCTCTCCTCCAGCAACCCTCAGTTTGTTTCCTATAGTTAAAGTCTCTCATGGTTTTTTTCTCTCTCTCTCTGTTGACTTCCCATTCAGTTTTCCCTCCCTTCCCCTATGATCCTCTGTGCTATTTCTTATATTCCACATATGAGTGAAACCGTATAATTGTCTTTCTCTGATTGACTTATTTCACTCAGCATAATACCCTCTAGATCCATCCACGTCGATGCAAATGGTAAGTATTCATCCTTTCTGCTGGCTGAGTAATATTCTATTGTATTATTGTATAATATATCTATAGGTATCTATTGTGGTGTATATACACCACCTCTTCTTTATCCATTCATCTGTTGATGGACATCTCGGCTCTTTCCACAGTTTGACTGTTGTGGACATTGCTGCTATAAACATTAGGGTGCAGGTGTCCCTTTGGATCACTACATTTTTATCTTTGGGGTAAATACCTAGTAGTGCAATTGCTGGGTCATAGGGTAGCTCTATTTTTAACTTCTTGAGGAACCTCCATACTGTTTTCCAGAGTAGCTGCACCAGCTTGCATTCCCACCAACAGTGTAGGAGGGTTCCCCTTTCTCTGCATCCTCATACAGTTCTTTATAAAGACAACTATCTTCAACATTTAAAATGGTTTCATTAAAAAAAAAAAAAGCTTTGTAACCTTTTAGAGACACATAAGTTCAACATACTTGAACGGGGCATGTTTTTAAAGTATAATTTATTAAAAAATATTCCCAAGATCTAATAATTATTTCATTCTCCTGAAGATGAATGCTCTGTGAGGATAGAAAAGGCAATGAAGGAAATAAACATATGTTATCTTAATAAACATAAATCTCACATTTTGTATGATGCTTTGCTGAAAACAAAGCTTTTTCATATACACTCTTTCCTGGAAGCTTCACCACAAATCTCTGAGTTATTATCACCATTTTATAATGGAGATAACCAGGGCTGACAGACACTAGAAAACTTGCCCAAACTATTTAGACAGAGCAACTGATTCCCAGATCTGAGTTCTCTCCTAAAGGGCCTGCCATGATGCCGACAGAGCACCGACATTAGTCAGAAGGGTGGTATTTGTAGGTCTCTTGACCTAGAATCTTATAGTGAGCTAAATTTTCACTCTAATCAAGAGGGTTTGTGGGCTCCTACTGGGATAGCAAGAATATTAAGATTTATCTTGGGAAAAAAAAATCCTAGGACATTTCTTTCTTATTCTGAACGATAACCCTACCTTGTTCTCTTGAAGCTATAAATTGATTCTAGGAAGCAATGGAAAATTTGATCACTAAGGGTGAGGAACGATCTCTTCTCTCCATCTTTCTCACAGTGCATCCCTTTTGGAGTAAATATTCTGTGGGCTCTGCATCCTCCTCTAATAAGCAAGCTTTAGTTGTGGTTTTTGGTGTTGTATGGTTTACTGAAGTAAAATGATCATTCCCAGGTTTTATAGCTCTCTCTCCTACCTTGTTTTCATTTCTCCAAACTAAAAGCATTTACTTTAGGAACAGGATTTACACACCACTGCATCTACGTTCTTTGGGTTGCAAAGACCTAGCATATTTTCAGTGCATTGCTTATACATTCCTCAGGCCACTCCTGGACTCATCACATTTGTAAAACTTGATTTCTCTTCTCTTTCTCATCTGAGAGCAGGTGGACCAAGACAGTTCTTTGGAGGCTCAATGAGTGATTTCTCCTGAGAGAGATACATCTCTCCAGTCTGCCAAGGAATGAAAAATCAGACAATCGCATAAATCATTCTGAATGCTGCCAAATAAATTCCACCAAATGCTACTGGCAATAATTATAGTATGTCACTGGGAAATGTGATTTTCTTCTAGCATCAGGCTTTACCTTGTCCTGAGTGCCATAAAAATGACACAGAGAGGACACAGGCAGCTCTCTCCATAGCAATAACCGATTTCTCACGATCCAGGAAACGAAGGGGTTGAAGTGCTTTTTACCTTGAAATGTCTGGAACAGGATACCAGGGATTAAGTAGGAACCACTAGAATTCACGGCTCTTTGCTCACAGCACACTTGTCAACTACTCCAACAATTAGGCGAAGTGGTGATTAAAGACCACCATTTTGTTATAAGCAGGGCTGTGGGCTCTCGCTGAGGAGAGGCACAACCTGTTGTAGCTTACAAAGAGGAAAGCTCTCTGGTAAGAATGGAAAGTCCTGAAAGCCAGTATGAGAGTCTGCTCCCCGGGAGGCGATAGCATCCCAAGTCTTCTAGGATTTTAGGTTCAACCACAAGACTGTCTTTCCTACAAACAGGACCGGGAAGTCACATCAAAGGGCCGAGCAAAACCACGGGCAAAGCCGCTGGGTGAACCAAGTTAAAAAGAAGACAAGGAAAGCTGCAGCATGGCGAGAAAAGGCAGAGACGCATAGGAGGGATAAGACGGGAGGAGGGAGTCGAGGAGGGAGGGGAGAGAGGAGAAAGCCGAGCGCGGACGTCAGGAACAAAAGCTCCAGCGGAGTCTGGCGGAGGCACTAGGGGAGCATGGGGTGTTTTGAATAATTATTAAAATTAGCGTGTGTCTGCGCCATCCTGTGGGTGTGGCGCAGAGCGGAGCGTAAACTCCAGCCGGGCCGGAGCAAACATTGGATTAGCGGCAGCAGCCTGCCAGCCTGCCGAGGAGTGCGGGGACCAGCGCGCGGCACGCCGACCGGCACGATGGCCTCGTCTCAGGGGAAGAACGAGCTGAAATTCGCCGACTGGATGGCAACTCTGCCGGAGAGCATCCACAGCATCCCCCTCACCAATTTAGCCATCCCAGGTAGGCGCGCGGAGGCTGCCGACGGGGCGCTCCCCCTGCCCCGCCCTGCATAATCTGCCGCGAAGTGGTAACTTGCCACGCCGCCCGAGGGAGGGAAACTCGTCCCCAGGGGTGGGTCTCCGGCCAGGCGAGCGCGTGCCTGGGAGCCTCGGGCCTCTGGCGTTTTGCAAACCTCTGGGGACCGTGGCGCGGCGAGTCAAGGTGACTGCTGTTGCACTGGGCTTTGGAAGCAGGCAGGCTGTGCGAGAGGGCTGGGGCAGGGGGGTGCCTCGGCTCCAGGAGCCGCCTTGAGCCCCCCTCCCACGGTTTTCCTCGCAGACTTGGGGGGGGGCGACTTCTGGGTCTGTGGGGTGACAGAGCGCGGTGAGCGCGAGCGGGTGTCCTGAGGGCTCGGCTCCGGCTCGTGGACCTCCGACTCCATCCCTGTCACGAAATGGAGCGGATTTGGTAGATTTCTCGGTTAGAACCTACCCGAGTCTTTAATATTCGTCCCCAGTCTCCTTTAAAGAGACAAAGCGCTTCCCTGAGAGCGAGGAAAGTTCAGGGACCCGCGGCGGCGTGATCACTGCCCTTGACCGGGAGCTGAAGGGAGCGAGGGGCGGAGGGCGCCGCGTCCTGGTCTGCGTGGACCCGGCGGGCTTGGCCGGGTGGTCACCGTCGGGATTCTGATTCAAGTGCTGTTGGCAACGTGTAGCGCCCGGGTCAGGAAAGCAACCCCTTGCGGACCGTGCGTCTGTTGCTCGGGACAGAAGCCCAGCGGGGCAACCTGCGTGAGCAGCGGCGGAGGGGTGGGATTAACAGGCAAACCAAAGGGGAAAGGGGAGTATGCGAGTGTCCAGACAGCCCAGAAGGAAGGAAGTCCGGGCAAAGCGAGGACGAGACGCGAGGGATCCAGAGGCTTCAGCATGGCGCGCGCGGCTCAGATCAGAGGACTAGGCGGGTTTCTGGGGGCGGGAGCGTGCAATAGCCCCTAACTCAGGTGTGCAGGAGAGAGGGATGTTTCAGGGCGGAGTAGTACGGTGACCGCTGGGGACACGGCCATACTTCGTTACCAATTTGACTTTTCACTTGTGCTGAGGGTGCAGATGCCCGCTTCTCCCAGGAGCCGGCTAGAGGCAATTTACCCACAGGTAGTCCACCCCTGCCCCGAGCTCTGCCCGGTTATCAAGTTCAACCTTCTGGTCTGTCTCCTCTTGATCTACCCCATCCAGCGCCCCCTCTCAGCCACTGGAGGAAGACACAATAAAGAGGAAAGGGGCGGGGGGGGAGGGGGAGGAAGTGAAGGGTTCCTTTGAAAAATCCCCAAAAGCTCTAACCAGCAGCTCTGGAATTGATCAGTAACTCAGATCAACGGTCGTTAGTCAAGTGGATGTTTGGCTGCTATGACAGGCACAGGCTGCACTCTGAGCACCAATCCCTGAAGGAAGGGTTTGTCGGTCTCCTTTTGCCCTTCTTCAAGAGGTAGCCTCCCGAGAGCCCAGGTATCTCCAAGGAAAAGACCACCCCGCTTCTCCACACCGCACTTACCCTGCTACCTGGTTGAGCCTGGGGATTGCTCTTTTGAAGGAGACAGTAGAAAGTGCACAACTTTGTTGGCAAAATTTCACTCTTACTTCCACAGTTCCACGTTCCAGTCGTCTTTGCTTCCTCTTTATGTGGTTTTTAGACAGTTGCTTTCGTACGATCTCTCCTGAGCATTTCCGTACATATAGAAAGTAATAAAGGCAAGGACTCTGATGCCAGCCTTCTGGCAGGTGACTCGCCAGATACACAGGGAGTAAAAAAGCCTAAGTTCACATTGCTAGTTACGAGGGATAGTATGACCGTATGTCAGAATCTCTATTACATTTCTGTAGTTCACTTTTCAAAACCCTCGTATGTACACCAGACCACAGAACGCTTCCCCAAACCTCATCACGGAGACAGTGCTGCTACTACCATTAACTCCACTTCATAGATGTAAAAATTGCAGCTCAGTGAGGGCAAGTAATTTACCATCAGATCAGTGATCTGACCCCCAAAGTGGTCCTTAGGGAAAGTCTCCTAGGAATTTTCGAGGGAAATGCATTAGGGTTTGTATCTGGATGGCTCAGTAGCAACAGCTACTAACCAGGGTGAGGGGACAAGGAACTAGGCATTAGCAGGATACAGGGCAATTTTCCTTTTCTCCCCATGGGACAAAGTGAAAACCTGAGGTCAGAGACTTTGATATTCTGTTTGTGTTCCAGCAGAGGCACTGGGGGTAAGATTGGGAGGCTTTGCATGGGATCCATTTTGAGTATAATACTAAGAGGGGTTGTGGCATTGGATGCAGTGGGAATTTTCACTGCTTTCCCAGCCCTTCTTAATATTATACTCAAAGTGACTCCCCTACAAAGCCTCCCATTCTTACCCCCAGTACTTTTGAGAAGAAAAAAAACCAGCCATGTTTCACCAAATCCACACCCCTGAATTTCCCCATGATTTTGTAAAGTCGGTTTGGTAGATCCATATGTATAAAATCTAGGTGTAAAAATGGGTTTGGTACTTTTCTGTATTACTCAACTGTGAGAATTTTTGGAGGAAAAAAGACATTCAAACTTTGATAGAGAAGACTAATTGGAGACTATTAAACACTAATGGAATAATTGCCTTAAAATCATGCTAATAGCTTCCTGGCTGCTACATGTTTACTTGGCCAGTTGCTACAGCTTGAATTAAGTAATTATCTCCACCATTTAAAACCACTCCTGATGCACCATACAAGTGTTTCTGTGGAGGGGAACGACTGCTCGGTCATCCTCAAAGTTCAGGTTTTCTTAGGTGAAGCAACCAGGGAGTGAAGAGCAGCTTAATTAAGAGGCCACCCATTTGGGGCAGCTGACCCAGATTCCCCAGGGCTAGTGCAAAGAAGTGATGCTTCCTGTCACTACAGACAGGTGAGAGAGAATAAACAGAAATGGAAGCAGGAAGACAAATGGTAAAATTCAGATGAAAGTGAGTGTGATGAATTTCTGGCATCTCTGCGGAGAGTTGTAACCTTATAATCATGGCGCCTCCAGAACACGGTAAAGAGACCCATCATGGGAGAAAGCAAGCTTTTTGCTTGATCTGGGTAAGGTGTTGGTGATCTAGGTCTACGATAAGGAGTCATTCTGTCCCAAATCTGAAAGATCAGGAAGTGTTTTTTATTCCACGGGAGGGTTCTGCCATACGTTTTCTGATAGGTGATGAAAATCTTCACATAATACAGCAAACTGACCATGTAATAATGAAAGATTGGCCAAAATATTGTGGTATTGGAACTCAGAGAGAGTGTATATTTCCTTGGTGTTGGAGTTCCTGGAGAGGCTGAGACCTCCAGCTGACCCTAAAGATGGACCCCAGCAATCAGAAGCTCCTCACCCCTGCCCCTAGCCTTAGAAATGTGCATTCCACCCACTGTTCCCACAGCTGAAGCCCTTTCAAGGACGCTGCCTTAAGAGAGTTAAGTCGTTATTGAGACCATCTGGCCATGCACGTGACTGAACCCAGGCAAGGCCTCTATATAAAGTCTTAAGATTCCCGTTGGTGCGTGCGAAGATCTACTCTTCTTGCGGCCACCCAAAAACAAGTCTTGCATGTAGGTTCCCTTGCTTATGAAACCTGACACCTTACAGCCTGGGGCGGCCTGCTTCTTTCTTTGGTCTCTTCATGTCCTCTGTGTACAGGGGTCAGTTTTTGAACCGACACTTAAACAGGAATTGTCGATTGTGCTTTAGATAAGGAACACAGAAATGCTTTGGAGATCAATAATCATACCTGATGATTTTGTTCATTTCTTCCAGAAAATGCCAATGGCAATGAAAAAGAGCAGTTTTACTTAGAGAAACTAGATGTTTATACAGCTCTGATTTCTGTGTTCTTATGTCTGCTTTTGTTAGTTTTCCATTTCTTTCCTCACAACGATCTCTTCTTCTTGTTGCCAGTATTTCTGGAGCCAGCTGTCTTCTTCCTTTTCTTTGTAACTTACTATTTCTATTTTGATTGGGATGAGACCATCTACAGGACAAATCTACAATTGGGTCTAATTGTACGATTGGGTCTAATCTTTCAAAAAGCAGGGTTGTTTTGTTTGTTTTTTTCCCATCATTTTAGTTAGGATGGTGATACAAAGTTAATCTTTGAGAGCAACCAAAAAGCAACAAAATTGTTTAGGATGAATACCTTTTTTGTGTTGCCTTTCCAGTTTCCAGTTTTGTTTTTGATTTTGCTAAAAAAGAAAAATTACGTATCTGGAACATCATTTTATTCTGGGACTTTTTCTTGATGAGCTGAACTGAATCACCACCTATTAATATAAAGTGACACTGAGGCCATTTTACAGCTTACAAAATGTTTTCTCATGTGCACACATGTTTTCTCCATGTTCTGTCAATAAACCTCCAAGGCCTTGCTACTCACAGTTGGTCCAGGGACCAGGAGAGGTAGAAATGTATCTCAGATTCCACCCCTCAGACCAATTTAATCATAATCAGCACTTAACAAGAACCCGAGGTGACTTATATACACATTTATAGTTGGAAAAACACTGCTTTAGGGTAGCTCTAAGGGGATCCTTTATGTAAGTGGCAGAGCCAAATTTAAATATACATCTTTGACTAAGCTCTTTCTTTCAGACCATGCAGTCTATTTATGAGTGTTCAAATTTATAATCAGGCTTAGAGCCAGAAGGTGGGTATTTGACTCAAGGCTAATGGCCCAGGTTGGGAACACAGTGATAACTCATATTATAGTTCATCATGCACCTTGAACATAAATGTGACTTAATTGCTACCTAAGTGTTCAAATTAGGTCGCTGTGATAAATGTAAAACCTTTCCCCTCATTTCCTTAAAGTACTGCTATCAGCCATCAACAGCACTTAAAATCAGCCCATTTGGTGATGCTAGAGGTCGCTAATGGCAATTTAGGAAACATCCCTGTGTTGCATCTTTGTCCATTTGGTCTCATTCTTTGTTGTGTTAAAGGCCCAGCTACTAT